TTTTTCTCTATATTCACATAATAAATTATCCTGCACATGAAATAATTTCTTTTATTTTGTGATATTTTTATATATCCTACTAAGGTAGAGGGTTCAAGGTTAGATTGTAGGGAATGAAACTCAACCTTTTAGAGCAAGGTAATATTTTATTCTCGTTCTACTTTCTAACCCAAAGTTTACATTATTTAATTGTATCCAGGGTGTCCTAACGAAAAGTAGTCACTCTTAATAACTTTGGAGGTAATAACTTTCTAATAACAATTAGTTCGTGTGCTATCCAGTGACGTGAATTTGGATAATTCCAACAATCATCTGTTGAAGAAATAAGCAATCATTTTAATTTCGTGTTTTTATTTTTTATACCCAAAATTATTAAAACAGTTATTTCCACAAACCCATTGATAAATTTTAAATGTAGACGATTTTAAAGATCTTTTAAAAAAGTATCACTCGACCCCTCTACAGTTTAAATTTTTTAACAGGGTGACTATGAAGGGTAGAGGGGTAACGTTACGTATATAAGTATTATAGTAAAATGTGTCCCCCTTGAAAGCAAAGTGCTTTTCGTTGGGACACCCTGTTTATCTTATAAGTATAAACTAAAACTAGCTAAAAAGTAAAACATTACTTTTTCCACATATAATAAATATAATAACTGACAATATAACTTAACCTACTTAATAATACTATACAGTATGATATCTGCATACCACAATTGAATTAAAATGTTTATTTTATATGAATTGTTTCAACTACACATCAAGTTCAATGTATATGATAATAACAAAAATGCTGACTTATTTTACAATTCTTTTCAAAACATTGAACTGGAGATCGAAATTGCAATAATATTTTTTATTGTATATTTAAAAATAAAATGTTGCTAATTGTTATTTTTATATCGTTTAATATGTGATATTATAAATTTAGATGAAAATGAGAAAATGAGATTGATTAGTTATCTTTGAAAAAAGATTCAAAAATCATCTTGCGGTAATAACTACAAAATTCACCTTTGAATTCTAATCACCTAGATAAAATATTACTAGATTCCGAAATTAATGGGTTAAAGTTGACAATTCAAAAATTATTAATAGGTATAATTTTTGGTGTCCCGTAGAATTTTACTAAATTCGGTAAACATTTTTGGTGTAATAAGATACATCTATCATCAAAACAATTAGCTAAATAAACTCTGTAAGTGGCGAACGGCATGTATAAGTAACACATTCATCCCCTTTAAATTTTACGCCACTGTCTAAAAACTTGTTTGGACTTTATCTTTACATTTTTTTGATTCGAGATAAAGGTTCATTTAGATTCTTTGTTTCTTTTTAAACATCAAAAAATTTAAATTTACAGTCCAAATAAGTTTGTGGAGAGTGGCGTAGATATGAAGGTACCGTACGCTAATTGAAAAGTTTATTTAATTCATTTTTATGCTGATAAGTATGATAAGTATGATACCAAAAACGTTTGCTTAGTATAATTTTATAAGAAACTACAAAATTTTAAATTTTCTGATGTTTTTTAAATAAATCATGTACTCTTGTTGGAAATTTATAAAAAAATCCAAAATTACAAAATAAAAAAAAAATCAAAATGAAGATTATCCGCCTTCGAGTTTCATTATCTCGAAAACCAATCACTTTATGAGTTGCCAAAAAGAGTACATTATTTATTTAAAAAACCTAAAAAAAATGTAGAAGTATAGTCCAAATTAGGATAGTGGCGTAAAATTTGGAGTAGATGAAGGTGTTACTTGTTCACCCCGTAGGTGTATCCTTTGATACCAAAAATGTTTACCTTATTAAACAGACAAATAGAAAAAAATATAGCCATTCATATTTTATTTCAGCAAGTTTCGTTATTTTAAATCAGTTGTTCTGTGTCCCATTCTTATTGAGGCACCCTGTATATAATACGAAATTTATATAATTTTTTCTCTCAAATATTTTTATACAGGATATCCCGATAACAGCTTATATAGCCGATAAACTTAGACCCGTGAGATTTTTTCTAATACGTTTCATTTTGTCAGAAGTTTTTAAAAGTTTTTAAAAATTGCTGGATTTCAATTCAAGATAAAACAATTTTCTTCAAATGAAACATCCTGTGTCGTATAAGAGGGACTTTAAATATATTTATTCGCATATGTTTATTTTAATTTATTTGGCTTTTTGTTCATTTTATTTTTAACAAATTAAATAATTTTATGTAGAAAATATACATGTTTGATAATTATAAGAAGTTTTCCTACGACCAGTTAGGAAAGTGACACATATCACACTACCTAGTCCTATGGAAAGTACCCTATATTACACGCGTATGAATAAGAATGTACTTTCCACCCGTGTGCGAATATGCTTCTTTCCGCATCAGCTGTCACAAAATGTCAAACGCATCAATTCTATTTTGATCTATGTAATGTCAATAATATTACTAAAATCGATATGATTGTTAAATTATTGAAATTGTTGTATATTAGATCCTAGATATTTATCTTTAACAATTATTATTAAAATAATTTTAAAATAACCAAGTTATGTTTGCTTTTTATTCTGGTTAAACACCGATTAGATCATTCAATTGACGCAAGGCCTATTAGCTCACCGACCGCGTTCAAATGCTCTACTTAACTTTAATCTATAATACTATCACATGCATACCATGAACCTTAAAAAACATACCGCTCCGTTTTTCGAAATGTCGTGCATTTTTTTATATTAAAAACACAATTACACGCGGGCAAAACCGCTGGCAACAGCTAGTTATTATTTAACTAGTAACTAGTGGTGAACGGATCCGAATTTTTAACGGATCGTGGATCCTTGAAGAAAAAAACCGGATCCGGATGTATCCGTCACCGGATTTAAATAAAGGAACCGGATTCGGATTTCG